TCAAGGGGTCAAGCTATTGATGAACCTCTCCAAGGAACTAGGCATAGATGCAAGGATATAAGCTTAAGGGAAAAGGGTAGTATGGACAGCATTGGGAAATTCAAGAGAAGGGTAGACAGGAGGAAGTAGGGAAATTGGAAGTCCTGGAGAGAGAGGATTCTGTACCCCCAAAACCCTTGAGAGTGCTTGGGGAGAGCGGTGGGGGAAAGGAACAGTAGGTCGGTTCTACGAGCTGAAGGAGCGGGTTGCCGGAAAAAGTGGAACCCCCATTGTTTTCCGTCAGCCGCCATTTAATTGGGGACTGAGGTTGGCAAAGGTGGGAGAAGAGTTGTTGGCAGCAGAACGATTCCCAAAGTGCTGCCTTGCACTGAAACCCAAAAGTTGGTGGTGGTTCAGGGAAAACAGTTAAAGTAGGCAGCAGCCAGCGGGGTGTGCGTTTGTGTAAAGCCTGTGCGAAGAAGAGAACAAATAGGAGATAGCCAATAGTTTAGGGTTGAGAATGTCCAAAAGAAATGCAGGATGAACCCCGTCAATGTAGGTTGCTAAACACTGTACGGAAAAGAGCCAAGGGGCCCCTTACCAAAATTCTACCTACCCCAAAAACTAAAATGGTTTTTTCGAACACGTGCCCGCCAAACTTTCCCTGCTCCTTAACTCCCCCACCTTTGATAATCCGAATTGTGGACCCACTCAGCGGTTCTTTAATTTGTTTATTAAATCTGGAAAAAATTTAAGAAGTATAAAACCCCCCCACCCACTTTGTTCCTAAAAGCCAACTATGACACCATAGCAACTAAACCTAGCCCAAACTAACATATAAACAATAACAACCACCGTTTACACCCAAAACTTGGTCACAACAAACCCACCATATTGATAACCACTAAACAGATCTTCGGGCTGTGTCCCAAATTCCTTTCATGACGCACAATGTTGACTTGGGTAGCTGGGCAAATAATTTGTTGCTAAACTACAGTACAGGGTAGTGGTGGGTTGGGGGCCTCCCAATGGCCCTGTGTTGACTTTGTTTGAAAACGGGTACTACTAGCTTCGTCTACGCCGGCACGGCCGAGGCACTGCCAAACACAGAACCCCCACAACCCCACGAACCTGCTTACCCGTAGCTAACTTTTCAAGCTAGCCCTTAAACCCCAATTTTCATCAATCCTTTGGGTTACATCAAACTGCCAGAGTTTTTTTAGCACCAAAAAATAATTCAAATCCTTCTGTTCCTTTTATAACGCATAAAAACGGGAAAAAAATTAAAAGTTTTTAACACATTACATTGGAAACCTCTCCAGGTTGCTAATCGTTACCAGAGCTACCCGCTAGCTACAGCCCGTGCTTCTACTAACCTACATTGCCTACGGAAAAACCCACAATAAAAACAAACAAACCCATAATAAATCAAAACCTAACTAAAAGCCCACCTACCTACGATCTAATACATGGTTAACAAAAATTAAAAGTTTGGGTAGGACACATTTAAAATTGGGAAACCAGCTCTCCGCGTTGCTAATCGTTACCAGTAGCTCCCCCTACACTAGCCTGGCTTTGATACTAACCCTACATTACCTACGGAACCACAATAAAACCCCTACTAAACCTATTATAAATACAATCCTAACTACAGCTAACTACCTACCTACGATCTAATACATGGTTTAAGCAAAAAAATAAACGTTGGCTTTTTTTAGGACTACATTAACATTGGAAAAACAGGTCTCCAGCGTTGCTAAACGTTACCAGAGCTACCCGGTAGTAGCTACGCCTATGCTCGATACTAACCTACAGTTACCTACGGAAAACCTACAATAACAAACAATACAATTATAATAAATACAATACCCTAACAGCTAACTACCTACCTACCTTACCTACGATCTAAACATGAGTTAGCTTTACTCAACACTATGAGAAAGCTTACCTCCAGCTAGAGAAAAAAAAGACCTCTCCCTCTCCCGACTAATTCCCGTACTGTCTGTAATGTCATTGTTTTGTAACCTACTCCCTCTATCTCTAAACTATGTCTGTCTATATACAATCTATGTCTGTATCTGCTCCATCAGCGTCTGCCTTATACCATCTCTGTCTGTCTCTCTAAATACCTGTCTGTCTTGTTCTATCCTTTCTATCTGTATCTCTCTAATTCTCTCCTCTCTGTCTGTCTCTCTCTATCCCCTCTGGCTGTATCTCTCCCTCTCTGTATGTCATCGCTTCTCGCTGCCGTCTCTCTATCTCTCACTCTACTTTTCTCTCTATCTACCTCTGTCGTATCCCTCCCCTCTCTGGCCTCTCTCACTCTAGTCTGCTCTTCACTCCCTCTCTCCACCTAACTATCGTCTGTATCTCATCTCTACCTTACTCACTATCTGTCTCTCCCCATATCTGTATGTTCTCTCCCCTCTCTGTAGTCTCTCTCCCTCTCTGTCTGTCTCGCTACCTCTTTGTATGTAGGTCTCTTCACTCTGTATGTCTCTATCTCCTCTATTGTCTGTTCTTCTCTTACCTATATGTCTGTCTATCTAACTACCATCCTACCTATATCTCTCTCTCTCTCTAATATATCTCTCTCTCGATCTCTCTCTCTCTCTTCTCTCTATCTCTCTCTCATATCTCTCTATCCTCTTCTCTATTCTCTATATATATCTCTCTCTCTCTTCTCAATATGTATTCCTCACGGTATCCACCTCTCTCCCTATCTGTAGTCGGTATCTCTCTCCCCTCTATGTGTCTGTCTACTTTACCAAACTCACTCTCTGTATGTCTCTTCTAAAATCTTGTATCCATCTCTCCGTCTCTCTCCTCTATACGTCTATCTCTCCCTATCTCCCTATCTGTTTTCTTAACTTTCTGTTATGTCTATCTCTCCCTCTCTGTCTTGTCTCTTTACACACGCGCACTATCGGGTATGTCTCTCTCCCTATCTGGTATCCCTCTATACTCTCTCCCGGTCTCTATCCCTCTCTGTCTCTCTCTCCCCCTCTCTCCCATCTCTGTTTCTCTACCTCTCTGTCTGTCTCTCTCCATCTATCCCTCTCTGTTTGTCTATCTACTCTTGTTTGTCTCTTCTAACTCTCTGTATGTGTCTCTCTGCTCTTCTGCCTCTGCTCTCCTCTCCTCTCTCTTTCCCTCTCTCTCTATGTCTCCCTATCTCCCCTCTCCCTCTATTAGTTCCCTCTCTCTCGTCTTTCACCTTCTCCTATCTGTCTGTCTCTCTCCCTCCATCTCTGCCTGTTTCCCTACCTACCTCCCTCCATCCCTCCCTCCTCCCTCCCTCCCTACATCCTCCCTCCATCTCTGTCGGTTCTGTCTGCCGTCTGTCGGTCTGTCTGTCTGGCTGTCTGTCTGTCTGTCTTTGTATGTCTGTCGGTCTCTCTGTCTCTCTGTCTGTCTGGTATGTATGTACTGTTGTCTGTATCCTCTCTATCTCTATTCTCTCTCTATGTTTGTTCTCTCAATATCTGTTTGTCTCCTCCCTCTCAGTATCTCTCCCGCTTGTCTGTCTCGCTATGCCTCTCTCTCTCTCTTCTCTCTATTCTCTACTCTCATATATCTCTCTCTCTCAATCTCTGCTTGTCTCTCACATATTGGTGTGTTCCTCTTCATCCCTATCTTGTTTGTGGTCTGGATGTCATGGATTTGTCTGTCTGTTGTCTGTCTTCGAGGGGGGCGGGATAGATCGACGCTCTAGATCGCTCGAATCCGTCGATTCGATCTCTCTCTCTCGAGGAGGAGAGGAGACGAGCGAGGAGAGGAGAGACTCGAGGAGATCGCATATATGAGATTCTCTATCTAGCTCTTGTTTGTCTAGACTCGCTATAGGGTTGGATCTCTAAATATGCAAAGTACTGAAGGGGGGGAGAAGAGAAAGAGAAGAGAGGAGCGATAAGGAGAGAGAGAGAGAGATATATATATATATATATATATAATATCTCTCTCTCTCTCTCTGTTTGTCTTCTCCATATGTTTGCTCTCTCACATTCAGTATATCTCCCTCCTATGTCGTTATCTCTATGAACTATATATATATATATATCTATCTCTCTTATCTATCTCTCTCTCTCTATCTCTCTCTCTTTCTCTCTCGCTCTGTTGTTTTTGGTCCTCTCTCCATCTCTGTGTGTCTCTCTCACAATCAGTTCTCTCCCTCTCTGTCTCTGTCCTCTCTCCCTCTCTGTCTGTCTCCCTCTCTCTCTCTCTGTCTGTCTGTCTCTATCTACCTCTTTGTATCTGTATCATATCTCGATATTCGGTCTGATGGATGTCTCCTCATCTCCTCCCTTCTCTCACCTCCTCTGTATGTCTTCCTCTCTCTACCTCTCTGTCTCCTCTCTGTTCCCTATCTCTCTCCCTATCAGTTCTTCTCCTTATCTCACTCTCTGTGTCGGTCTTCTCACTCTCGTCTGTCTGTTCTCCTCCCTCTCTGTATGTCAGGTCTTCTCTCTCCCTATCTGTATGTGGATCTCGCCTATCTGTCTGTCTCTATATCTCTCCCGCTCTGTCTGTGTAGCGCTATACGATAGTCGGTTCTCGCTCATCTCTCTATCTCTCTCCATATCGAGGACGGAGGAGTAGCGATATATCGAACGCGCGAGAGAGAGGACGCAGAGAGAGCTCGATGCGCGAGCGAGGAGAGCGAGAGAGCTCGCAGAGCCGCTCTATATCTTGCTAAATAGATGGGATTATGATCCCTACCTATCTTAAGATTGGGATGGGATACCTCTCTATAAATGAGCTAGAGAGAGATGAGAGAAGAGGCGCGAAAGCTGAGCAGAGAGCGCGAGCAGAGAGCGAGCAGCTCCGAGAGAGAGCTGCGAGCGACTAGAGCGCGCGAGCAGCGGCGAGAAGCATAGCGGAGATGTATGGAGTCGCTCTCTCTCTCCTCTCGTATCTATCTCTCCTCGCTATCTCTGCTCTCTCCGCTCTCTCGCTCTCGCGAGCAAACCCCCTGTAGTCCTGTGAGCAGGGGTCTGTTGAAGGTTGGCTGAGAAGTTACGATGACTAACTGGCTGGAGGAGATCGATGCAGGCAGCACAGAGGAGGACAAGGATGGAGATGACCTCACCCTGGCAGACTGCAACATACTGCCCAAGCTACACATAGTCCAGGCACACCTCAAACTCACAGGAACACATAGTCCAGGCACACCTCAAACTCACAGGAACACATTGACACATACACATACATACTCTCACACACACACACACACACACACACACACACACAACACACACACACACACAGACACATGAACAAACGACATATTGTCAAGTTCCACACACACACACATGCATTTACACAATCTCACATTCAAACATTGTATTACCTGGTATTATCTGGGGTATATTCTGTGTGTGTGCCGTTACCAGGTGGTTGCTAAGAAGAATCGTAAATATGAGATTCCGTCTGAGCTGGGCGGGTTGTGGCGTTACCTGAAGAACGCCTACACACAAGACGAGTTCACCAACACCTGTGCCGCCGACAACGAGATAAAGACTGGCCAAGTAACCCCTGACCTCTGACCTGTAAACCCTGACATAAACCTAAATAACACCCCTCACATCTAACCCTTGACCTCTGACCCAGTGTTTCCCAACTCCAGTCCTCCAGTACCCCCAACAGCCCAACTCCAGTCCTCCAGTACCCCCAACAACTCCAGTCCTCCAGTACCCCCCAACAGCCCAACTCCAGTCCTCCAGTACCCCCAACAGCCCAACTCCAGTCCTCCAGTACCCCCAACAGCCCAACTCCAGTCCTCCAGTACCCCCAACAGCCCAACTCCAGTCCTCCAGTACCCCCCAACAGCCCAACTCCAGTCCTCCAGTACCCCCAACAGCCCAACTCCAGTCCTCCAGTACCCCCAACAGCCCAACTCCAGTCCTCCAGTACCCCCAACAGCCCAACTCTGGTCCTTCAGTACCCCCAACAGAACACATATTTATTGTAACCCTGGACAAGCACACCTCATTCAACTTGTCAACTAATCATCAAGCCCTCAATGAGTTGAATGAGGTGTGCTTGTCTGGGGCTGCGACTAAACTGTGTACTGGAGAACTGGAGTTGGGAAACACTGCTCTAGCCCAGGTGTGAAACCTTTCCTAATCTTGATTTAAAAAATGTAACACTCACTTATAAACATGATCTGTGGAATGCACATGGAATGTTAACTTGGGAGCACTAATGGTGGTCAGATAATACATTCAACGGTAATGTTGACTTGGGAGCACTAATGGTGGTCAGATAATACATTAAACGGTAATGTTGACTTGGGAGCACTAATGGTGGTCAGATAATACATTAAACGGTAATGTTGAACTTGGGAGCACTAATGGTGGTCAGATAATACATTAAACGGTAATGTTAACTGGGAGCACTAATGGTGGTCAGATAATACATTCAACGGTAATGTTGACTTGGGAGCACTAATGGTGGTCAGATAATACATTAAACGGTAATGTTGACTTGGGAGCACTAATGGTGGTCAGATAATACATTAAACGGTAATGTTGACTTGGGAGCACTAATGGTGGTCAGATAATACATTAAACGGTAATGTTGACTTGGGAGCACTAATGGTGGTCAGATAATACATTAAACGGTAATGTTGACTTGGGAGCACTAATGGTGGTCAGATAATACATTAAACGGTAATGTTGACTTGGGAGCACTAATGGTGGTCAGATAATACATTAAACGGTTAAGTTGACTTGGGAGCACTAATGGTGGTCAGATAATTACATTAAACGGTAATGTTGACTTGGGAGCACTAATGGTGGTCAGATAATACATTAAACGGTAATGTTGACTTGGGAGCACTAATGGTGGTCAGATAATACATTAAACGGTAATGTTGACTTGGGAGCACTAATGGTGGTCAGATAATACATTAAACGGTTACACATTTCCATCTGTTGTTTCAAGTCCAGTGCGCTCAGGCTGTTGGTACATTTGAATCATTTGAGTTCAATCAATCATTGCGTTTTTGATTCTTGATAGCTGACAGAACAAATAGCTGACAGGACAAATAGCTGAAGAAATTCCTCAAGAGACTTGCAGCTGTAATTGCTGCAAAACGTGGCTCTACAAAGTATTGACTTTGGGGGGGGGTGAATAGTTATGCACGCTCAAGTTTTCAGTTTTTTTGTCTTATTTCTTGTTTGTTTCACAAAAAAAAATATTTTGCGTCTTCATAGTGGTAGGCATGTTGAGTAAATGAAATGATACAAACCCCCCAAAAATCTATTTTATTTCCAGGTTGTAAGGCAACAAAATAGGAAAAATGCCATTGGTGGGGGGGGGGGGGGGGGGGGGGGGGGGGGGGGGGGGGGGGGGTTTGGGGGGGGGAATACTTTAGCTACTGTACATTCTTTTATTTAGGAATGTAAAAGTACAAGTTGGCAAATATATAAATAGTAAAGTACAGAACCTTAAGTAGTACTTTACACCACTGGTCTGGGAGAGTAAACTAATCAGTACTATGGGAGAGTAACAGTGGAGGCTCCTCAGAGGAGGAAGGGGAGGACCATCCTCAGTGAATTTAATAAAAATAGAAATTGTGAAACATTAAATAAATTATCCTTTATAGATAAAACTATACTAAATATATTCACATGTCACCAAAATAATGTATTAAAACACACTGTTTTGCAATGAAGGTCTACAGTAGCCTCAACAGCACTCTGTAGGGTAGCACCATGGTGTAGCCAGAGGACAGCTAGCTTCCGTCCTCCTATGGCTACATTGACTTCACTACAAAACCTAGAAGGCTCTTGGTTCTCACCCCCTTCCATAGACTTACACAGTAATTATGACTACTTCCGGAAGACGTCCTCCAACCTATCAGAGCTCCCCTAACCTTACCACCCTTCCCCTAATTGGAGTAAACTAATGGACAACAACACTTAAGCTTCTACTTCCAGCTTATACATACTATATACATTTTACGGACACAGTATATTTTACATTAGTGATCTTGTTTTTCCTTTCTTTTTAGTCCCTTCAGCTCCCTTCATCTCTTCCCATCTATCACACTATCCAGTTTTGATTTCTATTTGCCATATATTTGTCAACTGTGATGTGATGTTTCACAAAAGTTTCACAAAACCTATCAGAGCTCTTGCAGCATGAACTGACATGTTGTCCACCCAATCAAAGGATCAGAGAATGAATCTAGTACTGAAAGCATAAGCTACAGCTAGCTAGCACTGCAGTGCATAAAATGTGGTGAGTAGTCGACTCAAAGAGAGAGAAAGACAATAGTTGAACAGTTTTTAACAAATTAGAGAGTGTGTGTGTGTGTGTGAGAGAGAGAGAGAGAGAGAGAGAGAGAGAGAGAGAGAGAGAGAGAGAGAGAGAGAGAGAGAGAGAGAGAGAGAGAGAGAGAGAGAGAGAGAGAGAAAGAGAGACTCTTTGACTTTTGGTCTTTCTTTAATGATACATTCTAATTTCATTAAAAATATTACCAATATCCCTTGTACTGCATACTCACCTGTACTGCATACTCACCTGTACTGCATACTCGCGAGCAGAGACCATCCCATTAAATAATAGTAAAGGGTCTGTTATCCCCCCACCTTTGACCCTGTTCCTCCTTGTTAGCCAAATAGCCAGCTTTGCCTGAGCAAACAGAAAATAAACAACACACATTTGGCCTTTTCCTTATTTGAATACCTGTACCCCATTATAAACATCCCGACAGTAAACTCCACCCCCAACCTCTCACACAGACGTTCCAACAGAGACAATAAAGGCATTAACCTGGTGCATACAGAAAACACATGAATCACAGTTTCACTCATGACACAGAAAGGACACCCCTGTCTGACTCCCGGTTCAACCCGTGCTAACCAGCTGTTAGTGGCCAGGGCTCCATGTAGAACCTTCCACTGTAGGTCCCCTGACCTCTTTGGTACTGGGAGTTTGTAGACCCCCCTCCATCTAAAACCCACCATACTCTCTGCCCCACATGCCCCCTGCCACTGATGTGCCTTCACTCCTGTTAGGCTCCTGATGTTCCTTACCTTAATGCAGAGGTTGTAGAGGGCTTTACCTCCCACCCCTTCAAACTCCTCCAGGCTCGGAGTGTTAAAATCTTCAGTCCTCCAGACCCCCTTGCCAGTCCCCAGTCTCTGCCGTCACCTGCAGAGGCGGAAACATTGGTGGCCCCTCCCCTTTCGGCCGCTCAAACACCCCCTTTACCGGCTGGACCTCCTCCTGGACTTCCCCCAGGAATCTCTCCAGCAGCCTAAGAGATGTTAGGCCTGTTTGTTGTGCCAGGACTTCTGGGGTTTTCCACCCCTCCTCCCCCGGCAGCCACAGGTCACCCAGCCTTAGTAAAACCACTGCCATCAGTCGCCTCTGCAGGGTGGCCGACTGAACCGATCTCAAAAGGATGGCTGGGTTGTGGAAGATAGGCTCCTGCCACACCCACAGCCCAGGCTCCACACCTCCTTCCCTAGTGGGCCTTAGTAGCTGCCAGGCCCTCAGCACCGCAGAGTAAAAATCAGAGAGACCTGCTGTACTCAGCCCCTCCAGCCTCATGAGGAATAGCTGCTGGTCCAACCCTAATCCGCCAGCTCTCCTCAGCAGCGCGCATGCTGGCTCCCTCCATCCGACATCAGTATGGTACAGCAGTCTCTGAGCCGCCTTTAGTCGGAATGCAGCCACCCTGCTCTCCAGTTCCACCAGGCCCTGTCCTCCTTCATTTACGGACACATACAACACTGCCGCCCTCAGCCAGTGATGGCCCGACCAGAGAGAATCCACCAGCTTGCGTTGTAGGTCTGCGAGCAGCCCGGCGGGGGGGTTGAGGACAGCCACTTTATGCCACAGGGAAGATGCCACCAGGTTGTTGATTATCAGCACCCTCCCTCTATATGACACTTGGGACAGGAGCCACTTCCACCTGGCCAGTCTTGACACCACTGCCTGTGACAGCCCCTCCCAGTTCTTCCTGACCCACCTCTCCGAGCCCAGGTACACCCCCAAAATGTTAAGCCCTTCACAACCCCACTGCAAAACCCCTGGAAGCAAAGGAGGGGCCCATCCCCCCATGCCCCACATAACAGAGCTTTGCTCTTGGCTCCAGTTTACCTTAGCTGACGAAGCTCCCTCATACACCTTCAGACTAGTCTCTAGTGCCTGCATATCCTGACCATCCCTGACCATCACAGAAACGTAATCTGCATACGCTGACACTGCAATGCTGGTATGCAATATGTCTGGTCCTTGTGTACTATAGAGTCCAGATGGGACTTCAGTCTGTTAACGAGGACCTTGGCAAATATCTTGTAGTCCGCACAGAGCAATGCCACAGGCCTCCAGTTCTTAAGTTCACACAAGTCCCCTTTTTTGGGCAGGAGAGTCAGAGCCACCCGACGACAGCTCATCGGCAACTCTCCTACCCCGACACACTCACGCAACACACAAATAAAAGTCCAGTCCAATTATTCCCCAGAATTTTTTTATAAAACTCCACTGGGAGTCCATCGACCCCCGATGCACGGCCGGGGGACATCTGGGT